AAAAATGTATGTCTCACCTAAAAAAATATTCTACACAAACCCGAGTTCTTGTTTTGTCCTGAAAGTCCTACACTCCTACCTAACCTAATTACTATATAATATGTGATACCTACTACCTATATACCGTAGACGATAAATGATAATAATAATAATATACACCACACTATAGCGATGAATTATGGCGATTGCGAGTGAAATCAAATCGTCACACTCGTACTTGCTTTATGATATAATAGTGTTGCAGCGAACCGAATGACAACATAATATCCGCTGTTGTAGTGTTTTATCTCATCGCACGATATCTTATTCGATACTACCTAAATATTATAAACTCGTCTTTCCAAATCACTATAACTATTACCAATTTTTTTTTTTTTTTTTAGTACCTTTATAGACTATTTTTTTTATTTCCTATTTCTCAATAAACTATATATTATGTATTTTTATTTTAAATATACGAAGCAAATGTTCTTATTTTGTAACATGCAATGTGATGTAACTTTTAAATAAAGATTATTTTAAATTGAATTTTACAGTGTTTAATTTATTATATACTTTAATCGTCTAAATAGTCTGAGAAAAATAAATAATCACATCACTACATCTGCAGTAGGTTGTAGGTATACAAGTCATAACATTAAATTAAAAACCGTTATAACGACAGGTCTTCACATAATAACAACAATATGAGTTGTGAACGAAGATGATAGTAAAATATTGATAGCATAAATTACAGCATAGTTATTACCTATCGATTTAAATCGACTCCATGATTTAGATGCATTGCTAGATGTGAAAAAAAAAGTCAATAATTATATTATATTCAGTATAAATTGTATAAATATCATATTTCTAAGGCTAAAACCTCTCCCCTAACCCTAGTAAAATGTACTGGGAAATTTCAACTTTTACCACCCTACAAATGTACCAACTAGATCCAATTTGCTTCCGAAAATCTTCATCGAAGTTTATGATCAAAGCATTTTTTCTACTAGAAAAGTTGAGAAGATGAAGGTGTACAAACATTTTAAAATACCTAACCTAAACATCTGAAACTATTAGACTGGACAAAATAAAAATATTATCATTAATTTCTACGTCCCCTCCCCCCATAAATATATATATATATAACTATTAAATATTATTGTCGGTTTACAATAACCTTAAAAAGTGTTCGATTTCGTCCTTTATTACGTGTAAAGTGGACGGTCTTTAGATTCAACAGGAATCGTATGTCACGACGTATGTGCACTGGCATCCGTTGGCGGCCACCGATACAGCCCACAAGTTCATGCTGACTTTACATTATTTAATTAGTAATAATTACTCATAATAATCTATATTCCATATGAATAACATACAAGGTGCGATGTGTATTTTTCTGTATTTATTAATCACGGCTTAAATGTAACACAACACTACCACCAGAGCCTACTGATTTTACCAAGTTACTGTCTAATTCTGAATATCCCTTAAATAACATAAAATTATAAGCCATTCCACTCTTACCTCCGCACAATAAAAAAATTTTGACCCCCCCACTTAATAGGCTTTCCTTTCATATATTGTTTGATCGATAGTTGGCCTTTGAAAGGAACCATCTGTTCATCAACACAAAGGTCCTGTTCTAAAGGTAGGCTATTACATTTTTTTAACACTGCATCAAATAATGGTCGCACTTTAATGAATTTGTCTTTATTTGCTTTACTTATGCTGTTGTTGTCAGTTATATGAAAATGAGTTCGTAAAGCGAAAAAACGGTCTCGTGTCATATTACGTGCAATAATATTAATTTGAAAATTGTCTTCCCAATATAAACGTACTCAAGGATATTTTAAAGAGCCCATAATAATATGAACACCGATAAATATTTTATTAATATTATATTTAGTAATTACTCATAATAATCTATATTCCATATGAATAACATACAAGGTGTGATGTGTATTTGTCTGTATTTATTAATCACGGCTTAATGTAGGTATACAAATTCCATCACCACTCAGGAACATAGATAAGACTATAACTATGAAAAAACAATATGGATTAAAGCTTATATCATGGATCAAGGTGTGTTTATGATATATGGTTTAAAAGAAGTAAGAACTGTGTGTAATAGATACAATTCTATCTATTTCTCTATTAGTTACTATTGGCATGTTATATTGTGTTTACATGCAGGATGAGTTTTTTTTTTTTTATGTATAAGAATCTGTCTTAAGACATAATATTTATTACAATTGTATTTTAATTTTATTACATGTTATATTCTGTAGTGTGTAGACACGAAATAGAGGAGAATTGAGAAGGACCATTTGATTAAAATAATACAAAAAAACAAAAATGAAAGCGCCTGAAATTGTTAAGGTAGGCAACTAGAATATCTAGATAATTGTGTCTGCATTGCGACTATAAATCAAGCAAACAAGAACTACACGGATACAAATATGACACTAAGAGGTAAAGAGGTAAAGTAAAACCGTTTATGAAAGGTGAACGAGATGATGAAAGTTAGTTATCATGGGGTACAGGGAAGTATAGATGATCGGGTCGGTCTGGTACTCTGGCGCAATCAGCAGACACAAAACCGAATCAAATCCTCTTGTAGTTATAACTAAACTTATAATACGGATGTCCGGTGATGGTAAAACAACAGGCAGAGTTGGAGAGCAATGACGATCTGGGCGGTATGGACGGCCTCTCACACAACTTGCAAGAGTTTCTAGTGCCTGGTGGACTACACGTCGGACTCGCTGTGACTCCGACACGGACTGAATCTAGGCGGCCTCTCACACAGCACACAAAAGGTGCTTGAGGACTTACGCTACGTCAAAAACTTGGCAGAGATTTCGATCACGAACAATAATTAATGAGCGATAAATAATAGATGATCGCCAAATATATATTTATATAACACCGATAGTAGCACTATATAGGTCTATGTCAAACCGGAGTGACAATATTGTATAATAATAATTCATAAATGACTTGTGAACGATATCGTTGTGGTCAGATATTTAACTTGAACTCACAAAATCAAAATAACAAACCAGTCGTGTTACTTAGTGTACGTGATTACCTATGGTCTATGCTGCAATAAAAAATGACAATAATGATTAATGACGATAAAAAGCGTACTCGTACAATGCGATATGAACAAACAAATAACATACGACGTATAGGTTAGGTAAATAATCATAACAATTAATAATAAACAATAAACATATTGGTTTTACTTAAAGAATACAAAGATAATAATCTCAAGTTGATTGCAAGGTACACAAAGACGGAATAATATGTATACAACAATAATAAGAATAGGTATAACATAATATTATTTTTATACAGGATTATATTTATGAGAATAGGATGACGGTATAAACCCCCCAATTGATTCCACCCAACACTCAGTAATATATTATATATAATATATAATCACCCTTAATATCTCTGTCCCCCTCCCGCTTAACATCATATATCTTACTTTTTATTAAAGCATTTTACGTTTTAATTTATTAAGTAATATAGATATCTGTTATAATATACCTATATTGAATGTATACAATTTATTATGTAAATGTTTATATTAAGACGCATTGGTGCTCCAATGCTTGATAAATAATGTCGTTATCTATTAATTTGTAAGTAGCATTTTAATTATGAATTATTATTATCAATCATAAATTCTAAACTTCCACAACGAATTTGTATGAATCACTTATCAGTTATGTTAAATTTAATGAAAAAATCAGCTATCACAGTAACCCAAAGTAAAATGGAGAAAGTGGAGCACCATGTACCATTCAATTGTTGTGTGATGGGAAAGAGGAATAAAACTATTACACAATAGGTAGGTATACACTAACGACTAACCATCCTATCAGTCCTATCAACATAATAGTAAAGTAGTGACCAGTTAAAAAATTAAAAATTAAGTGATAAGTAACTTTTTTTGATACGTAACTTTTAACTTAACTAGTTAAGAAAAATAGAATATTAAAAAATAATTGTAACTTAACTTAGTTATTTTACTAAAATTAAAATTATTAACGAATTGTTCGTATAATTAACTAAATATTTTTTACATTAGTTTTTAAACAGAAATTACATATTTTTACGTAAATGTCCTTATAAGATAATTGTTATGGAGTCATGGACATAACTATAAGGTTTAGATTACATTATAAGTGTAATATTTTATAAAACAAAAAAAGTAACTTAAATTATTATTTTCTTGAAAAAGTGTAACTTACCTTATAGTTACTCAAATTTATTTATATTTTAAAATTAACTTTAACTTAGCTTATCTACTTATGTTTTATTTTAGGATAACTTAACTTTAAGTAAGCAGTTAAGAAAATTCGTTAACTAGCCAAGCTTTGCATAATAGTATTATATTATATAGTCTCACTAGCTGAATTACCCGGCGTTGCCCGGGAAAAACTCCTTTTAGGTGTAAAACGCCGTGAAAGCAATAATGTCTTTTTAAGTGTAAATTATTTAATATTTTTAAGTGTAGCCACATAAGTCTAGAATTGAAGAAGTATTGTTTGGACACCCCCTTCCATGAAGCCGTCCAATTTTTGTAAATTAATAACCATATTACTTATTGTATAGTATAATAGCTGGTTTACCCGGCTTAGCCTGGAAGGTATTCAACTATTTTATATAAAAAAAATGAGGATGAAAAATCTACTATTTTCTTATATCGTACCTTTTTTATTTATTAATTTATATATTATCTCTGTACATATTTCCATTAAGGTTATAATACTTCTTGGTAAACAATATTTTTTGTTCTTTGGTGAGGCGCATACACATATAGATTTTTTGCCGAACTGACACTGGAGCAAGCAACATAAAATTGTCCGTGGGTAAAACAGGGATTCGTAATGTCGAGGCCTGCAACCTTCAGTGTCTATCCCTGTGCCTTATTGATAGACATAGCAAAACAAAACTTTATAGAAAATTGTACTCGTTTAAATTCGAACGGGTATTCATTACTCATTAGTAATCATCTGTATCCTGGGAATAAAAACAACTTGACCTTGGGCTGAGCCGGAAAGAATTGTAGCTTCAATCACGTCCCTCTGCATAGTTACCATCCGTAATCTAGTACCATTGCATAATTTCGGTGTATTTAAATTCCTCATAAGTATTATTGGAGCCCCAATTTTCAAGTCCAGTTTATGCGGAGGAAGTCCTGATGGATTCAAAGAATTTAAAAATTCAATTTGAATATCAATAGAATTATCTTGATCAGTCAGATTATCAATAGAAAGATAAGTTTGTTGGTGGGCCTTAAACATTGAAAGAATTTTATTATTTATACTTGTAACGGAATCGTTTTTAGGTGCTAAAATCGCTCGTTCGCGTAACCAATCATCCGTTTTCTCTGAAATTTGGGTGACTTGCGGGTAAACATTAGCTATTAATTTGTCTTGTCCAGTGACGCTAGTTGCAATTGTTGGTTCTATTAGTACTTCACCATCATTATTTAAAATATTTCCATTTCCTATATCCAAAAGAGTTCTTGAAAATTGTGCTGCATTATTATCATCACCCAAATGTACGCGCATATTTGTGGTCAATCTTAAAAGTTTGACAGAAGCCCACAGAAACGATGACGATTTTAGGCAAGCATTTATCCATTACCTTGGGCATAATGTGACCAATAAAAAAAAATCTTTCAAAATTAACAACTTTCTCAAATCCTAATTAATTATTAACCAACTTAATTAAAACTGCATGACAATTGGATAAGAATATTCGAAGCCAAACCGTAACAAAGATTTCCTCTTTTGCTCTTTTTCGTCTTCTACCGAAAACGATAGAAAAGTATTACACAGTCCATATAGGTAACGAAAATAATATCAGCGTACGGCGATGTTAAAATAAATATGGAAATCTATACCTGTATTTGTGGTTGTCGAGTTTGATTGTTATTTATTTTCAGCCAGCGACTATTTCTTACTAAAAAAGATATAGGTATACAATTTACACATTAATTTTAATTAATAATAACTAATGATTTATTAACATTATCGGACTTTATTTATGCCTAAAACCTGCTCCGTGATATCCTCTTTCATTTAAAAAGAACTGCATGACAATTGGATAAGAAGTTTCGAAGCCAAACCGTAACAAAGATTTCCTCTTTTGCTTGATTTCAGTTTTATATATAAATAGATGTAGAAACGAATTAAATTATCGGGACATGGAAGGGGGCATTTACCTCCCTGGACCCTGGGGCTCAAATACCTCATTGGAGGCCCCAACCTACATCACTAGATTAACTAATTGGGCCCCCTGTGTTCATAGATACCTAATAAATACATATAGGTTTATTATCTATGGCTGTTCCCTAGATACTCCGAGGACGTAAAGAGCATGAACCATAAACACCTTGGGAAACCGGTTTTAGACGGAGAAATGGTCGTGTTCTTTACACGCGGAGTACACGCCCTGCGGCCCTGCCCAACCCCGGATCGAGACCCAAATTAGGGTCGCAGAGGTTTTTATGATGGGTCTCAAAAGCATTACTTACGTATTGTATTATTTTCATTTCATTTTTAAAAAAAAATTCCTGATATATTCTGATAGTTAAATGATCGAGGAAAAGAATAATTTTTAATGGATTATAATACATAGATGCATCTTAATGCAGCCTTATCGTATCATCATATTTTTAGGTGGCCTAAAGATACATTACAAATATTAGGGTCACTCTAATAAAAGGTTGGGAACCGCTACTTTAGGGTATGAAGTATGCAGTATTAAGCGGCTCATTCACGATCAACAATCAATATATTGACCGTGTATTGGTTATATTACAGTAGGTACTTAAAATTAATATAACATTGCAAAATATCAAAACTATTTTGATATATTTTATTGACGGGTTTTTAATTTTTTTAATTGATATCAATTATATTGATTGTGTATGAGCCGCTTAAAGGCACATTCACAGCTAAAGCCGGATTCACAGCTACTTCGTGTTGATCAAATTGCATTGCGATTGAATATTAATTTTTTGGTATCGTGTACTTGCAACCGAGTATACCAAGAATTGAACACAGACCACAACCACAGACTTACATCATCATGGTGGGGGAGTGGAGAGTTGCAGGACTTACAAAATCACAATGTCTGGCGATTCCATGTGTTATAGGACTGTTACAGCGGGAATGGTGATTTGATTTTAAACTATTGACTAGATCAAGGTGGATTGGTATCCACCTTGGACTAGATATGCCATATCTAGCACGACTATAATAGTTGAACCCGTACCTGTAATCGGATTGGATGTTGGAAACGCGTATTCCTGGTGGTAACGAAGCCTAACCACCGGATGATTTTCATTGTTCAAAGCCACGATCACACCATTTTGACGAAAATCAGATATTATATAAAAATTAAAAATACTATATTATATCCTAAGACACGACTGTGTCCAAGACGGGTCATAAATTTTGGTACCCAAGCATAATATAACAATGGATTGGCAGGGTTGGACTATTTCAAAGATAAAATAATTGTATCTTACAACATAATTTTGAAGTATCAACTATCATTTATCTTATTTTGCCCAAAATTACATGATATTATTATGACTAACATTGGTACTGAATAGTATCAAGAAATTTGATTGCGACATGCAGGACACTAAAAGCTTTAATTAAATGTTACTATGTTATAACTTCTCAGCTTATCTGAAAAACTTAGAATTCAATTAAGGTGCTCTTATGTATACCGATCAACTCTTAGTCAAACAAATCAGAATTAAACCGGAATTTTTGAGTCATATCTCATGATGTAGTTTATAAATAGTGATGTATCTATTAGTCATAAATTTATAATGTGTATTGACTTTTTGTAAGATTTATATTTATGACTAGAGGTCAGATTTTTATGATTTCACATATTTGTTTCTAGTGTAGGTATGCAGTTAAATGGGAGTAAGATATCATTACAATTCATGAAACACAGTTCATAGAAAAAATGTATTTTGCATAAAAAGCATATTTTGGAATTAGAGAATGTTTTTTATTTTTGTAATATCGGTATAGTGAATATACTTCACGTCATATATCATCATTTTGATAAATGTAATACTCATTACATGATTTATTTCTGGTACTAATAAAAATTATATTGGTGACGAAAATATTCCGTACTGAAATGATACCAGAACACATGGAACAATACATAGTTTCAAAATGAATTAAATTTAATACATTTAAAATATTAAGACGTGTTCATAAATTATGACTTTATAAGTATATATAGACGGTTAACAAAATTCAATTAATTGGAAATAAAAAATAACATGAAGCATCATGTATCTTTTTACATTCACAATGTACCTTGTATCTAGATACACTAAATGCTCGTCTCATGTTAATTTTTGGGGGTATTACGCATAACCCTATGGATAGGCCACACCTAAATTCACATAATAAGCAGTTTAATCCACATTCTGGACCACGACCCCTTATTTTGTTAGTATAGCAAATCCATTCTCATAGTATCTATAATACCTTATTTATTAAAATATCATAGCTCAATAGAAAATGAATTATAATTTGTCATAAAAAAATTATTTCATGTACCTACCATACCATATTCAGACAGTTTAGGTTTTAATATTACTTACCTGAAAACTATTAGACAGCTTATTGTTCTACTACTAGCAGGACATTTACAGTTCACCGCTATAATATAGTATATAATATAAAATATAGTTTAATAAATTACATTCATTTTCAATTTAAAATTAATGTTTGACTCAATGATTAATTACAGCCATATTGTATTGTTATATTAATATTTTTTTTGGATTATTCAATGGTGTTGCCCAAATTAATTTAAAAAATAAAACTTCAGGACCCAATCTAAACGCATATACATATGAACATTTAGTTTAACCAATTCTTGAAGACATTTCAAAAATATTTCAAAAAATTAAAACAAGAAAATTCTTTCGAGTCATTTTAAATATGTAAAGAAAAATGCAATTTTACAAAAATCAGTCTTGCATACGCAAAAGGTTAAGAAAACTAATTGATTAATGACACAGTACAATTTCAGCAATAATTGCTAATTACGTTCTGTTGTGTGACTAATGATTGGTCATTGTTCTAGTTCTTTTTGTATAAGAAAAGTAGCATTAAATCGATTTGTTCTCAAAATATTTATAAATACAATGTAGTAGTTAATATAAATAATAGTACAGCTATAATATAATAAAAAAAAGAATACAATCTTTTAATGTAAAAAAAAAAAGAGAGAAGGCAATTGAATGTTTAATGTTGATAATGATACATTTGGATATTTCTTGCTGATTAACAGAAGTGAAAAACTTTTCGAGAATTATTACTATTTTTATAGGGTAAACAAATAAATTCATCAACTTCTCTCTGCCAACTATAATTATTCTGCTCTGGACATCGCTTTGGCTTGTGCTCGGACACGTTTATCATATTCTACACGATTTTGACTGAAAAAAAAAATAATAGTAAAAATAAATATACATTCTACTATTTCAATTAAACACTAAGTTATCGTTAGTATAAGAGGGTGAATTGATCCATAATCTAACTCAAGTTAAGAACTTTAACTGTGTCTGTATGTGATCTTATTTCATAATTAAATTTGTATACGTAATCTACAATTCTTTTGAAAAAATAAAACCTACAAACCAGACAATGTTCTCATGGTCCTTTATATATATTAGATAAATTCATCCTAATATTAAAACTAACTACACAAATACATTTGTATGATGAAGACAACACATGTGAGTATTCCATATCCTTAATTATATAAATGAGTCTAATAACTTATAATTAATATTTTTAAAGCTTAGCCTTCGAGCAGGAGCGCTATTAACTGAAACAAGAGTAATCGCGCTTTGCATTTCTGACAACAGCTCTAATATATTATGATTTGTGATAATCATACACATATCAAATATTAATGTATTTACTGTATTTGAAATTTTAATTAATTTAATTTAGGCACAGTAAAAAAATACATTTTATATATATTTTTGCAATTTTTATTTTTTTATTTAAATTTATAATGTTGCTTTTTTGCTTAAAACATAAATAATAACATTTTTGAGGAATATAGAAGATAAAAATAGAATATAGGTAGGTTAAAGAATAAATTACAAAACTGTTGTATAATTTACAACAGAGCGCCAGCTGGGAGGTTAACAACAGTATACTAAAATATAATTACCAATAAATAGTGTATGCTTCTGCTTGAGCAGGATCTTTAATGTTGGGCTCATTTAATAAATCTTGTATCCCCAATAATATTTGCTTAATTGTAATAGCTGGACGCCAATCTTTTTCTTCATCCAATAGTGATAAGCACACAGTACCTAGTTAATCAGGAATAATTATTATTAATGTTTATAAATTAAATATTTAAATAATATTATAGATATTAGATATGAATAATAATGATAGCTTCTATTATATTTACCAGAGGGATAAACATTAGGGTGGAATAAAGGAGGCTCAAATTTGCATTTTGGTGGACTGGATGGATAATCGTCCTTGAAGATCATACGTAGGAAGTACATTCCATTCTCCCAAGCAGTCTAAATAAAAATATTAATATAATTTTTTAATTTCAAGTGGTGCAATAAACATATTAAATGTAGTGTTGTATATTTCCACATTAAAATTGTAACGTAATTAGATCCATAATAAAAAAATATGCAAGATACTCTCAGCAACAGGTAAATTTTGATACAAAGATCGTGAACTATAAAATTTACTTGTACATAGCAGTCCATGGTGGTTTTATTAAACAAATTAAAAACATTAAATACTATTTCAAAGAGTGGTGTATTCTTTATCACCTGTTGAATTAGCAGTAGTTATCAAAATGTGAAAACTATACAATATTATGGTGTATTTTTGAAAATATAAGTTGCTTTTGTTCATTCAAAATTATAATTCTATTAATAATATAATAAATAAATAACTACCAAATTGGTATATTTGAATTTTTGTAATTAAAAATTGTATACGTTTTTGAAATTTAGACCATGTTAAAAGGGAGACATTAGTTATATTGCAGTTTTTTAGTCATACTTCCATAAAAAAACGGCACTAATCTGCATTATATTTCAAATTAGTGCTACTAATTTAAATAAACTAACAAAATTATACAAGAATGAATTTTAGGAATACACAAAATAATATTTTTAAGTTATACGAAATAATTTTATTAGACTATATTTAATTTATATAAAATAGCTAAGAAATAGATATATTTTACTCAGATCTAGAACAAATAATGTTAATTTAGTGGACATTTATTTGGTACCTCGCAATCACAATCAGGTGTATAATAAAATAAAAGATGTTACATTTTATACTCACATTTTTTCTCCCAGGTATAAAGCATTCCCAAATCATGAGGTTCAATGAACCATCTTGATTTTTGGCAGGTTTAGCCACAAAACCCTTGAGATAAAAAAAATTATTTTAGATCATTACTAGTAGTATTTAAAACATATTAGTACTCACAAATGGATGATCTTTTCTCCATCCTTTACGTTCTTCTGATAATCGAGTTAATGCAATACCAGACATTTTTCTGTAAATAAAAATATAACCCACAATATAATTTCAAGACGATTGATTTTAGTTTACATAAAAGTACATGCATAAATAAAAAAATTAAAGAAATTCTATTCAATAATCAATTATTTGTAGTAGCTATTTTATTTTGAAATAGCACACATTTGTACAATGTTTAAAAAGACACTATGTGCATAAGAATATGAGATGATCTAACCTTACTAAAGCATAACTTTTTCTTTTTTTTGTTATTAAAGAATTTTTTATTCAATCTGTTACAATATAAAATAGAACAATAGGAACAATTGATGAATTAGTTAAAAGAAAAAAGAAAATAAAAATAAATAACAACAGATTAGACCGAATGTAGAGGCCTCCCAGCAGAGGTACTACGACAAAGCATAACTTAATACAATTTATATTCAGCAGTTCCAATTTTGTGTTGTATGCTCAAATATATTTGAGTTGATCGCTTACATCATAAAATGATCAATTATCAAACTTAAAGGTAAAATAATAGGTAAAATAACTAATATTAAATCTAATAACACAAAATTAGAACTGTTGTACTTAAATTTTAAGACTGAGATAACACATGTGGAATGTGACGTACCTAATTATAAGCAACATGGTACAATTTTAAAGGTCACAACATGTTACTCGCTTACTCATAGTATCATTTTGTTATAAAATTATAGTAACTAAAGGTGTACTACGCTGTCACATGCATACTGAAGGATTTGACTAACAAAAAGTTCCAACCGTACCACATTTAATTTACATCATATTAACTTAGTCACCACATAAATCGGACATACAAGAGTCGAAAACAAAAGTTTTAAGTACCCAAAACTACTGCTGAAGGGTTCAAATACAAGAAAATTGAAAAGTATTCAACTATCGAAAATCGAGTCTGTAGTTTTTACCAACCTGAACTATGTACGTAATTACACGTATACTTCTACTTTCAGCGTACGAAATAGATCTGGTTTGAATAAATAAAGTATCAAAAAAATGTTCTTAAATATGCTTGGGACATTTGCTACTAAATGATGTTTGGCTATGCCCACATAGGGTAATCGTCTAATTCAACACATCACTCGGAAATCATATCTTAAGTACCCAATTCTACAAGAAAATACGCATAATGTGACTAACCACAAAAATACGAGCCTGCGCGTACGCTGAGCTACTCTAGAACTCAAATCGAACTGAAGGCAGACAAGGGTGCTGCGATCAGATCCATTTATCCAAACGCGTGACAAATACGATCATGCGGCGCATAAAATGAAAGCAACTTACGAATTTTCCGGATCAGACGGAGTATCGGAAGATTGCACACGATATTAAATTCTTGGAGAACCGCGAAGTAGACAGCCGCGGCACACGAGCAGCCAATAATGTAAAACCGAAACGATCAACGAACGGTGTTGAACCCGCGGGAGATTTCAGTTATCACAATGTCGGCAGAAATCCGAGATTGTGCTAGTTAGTATGAAAGGGGAACAATAAAATTACAAGCAGGCCCGATGGATACGGAGTACCATCAAAAAAATAAAAATACAATAATACGTCTCAAAAACTCACCAATATCAGACCAGACGGTCAGCAACAGAGACCAAGGAACTGTACGAATCAAGCAATGGAGTGGGGTAGACAGTAGATACAGGCATCATTTAGACAAACAATAACACGGAACGAGTAGTCGGACCTGGAAACAGTGTGGCCGCGCAGGGGGGTATCTCAAATGACAGTTGCATGCTTGCGAAACGCAATTTTACAAACTAAAGTTTTTTTCATTATTTACAATTTTCTGGTAATTTATAAGAAAGAAAAGAAAGACCGTTATTACAACATTCCAAAACATTATTCATATTGACTTGTATCGGTCGTCCTAGGCTCCAGACTCAAAAACGATGGAAATATTCATAATAGGATCTTGTCGTTATTTTGGTACCGTGGTTTTAAAGGGACGCCGTTGCTCAAATTCTTAGTAAACACAAAGGAAACAGGTTAGCCAATAACAGGTTGCTAGAATATATGAAATACTGAAATACCTTTGTAATAAAACCACGTTAAGGTTAGGATAGGTTAGGTAAGGTTAGGTTAGGTTACCACAATTAACCACGTTACCGTGTTTTTGGACATACTAGCAGCACATATATCTTTTATTGTATTCTGGATATTCTGATCTAATTGGCGATTGCCATTTGCAATCATAGTACCAGTCATTCAAATATGTCTGAGTTGAACCAGTGGCATCTTAAACAGGATATAATTTCGGGAGGGTGCGGGGTGATACTTGGTTACCCCGTTCCGTCACACTATACAAGGTGTCACAGACAGATCTGATACATAGAAAAAATATTTGAAAATAATATGGTTAATAAATTATTTAAGAAATAAATTCCCAGCCGGGAAATTCCCAAAAATCATATCTTGAAAAAAGGTATAACACTTAAAATTAATTTATTTCATTCAAATTAAAAAAAAAAAATTATAAGAAATAAACTGTTCTTGACTTAGGTAGATAAATGTGTTTTTACCACCAAAATTGTTCTTATACTCAATAAAAAAATTGGCTTTTAAGATTTTTTCCAAAAAAATATAAATCAAATTTTAAATTTTTATAATAGTATACAAAATTTTAAAAAAACAATGTTATACGGGTTATATTTTATGTCATTGTACATGGGGTATTTTAATGATCATAGATATAGGATATGGGATTTTAAAATAACAAAAAAGACGAGTTTCTGCTGTATGGGGTATAGGTAAAAGAAATTAAGTCACCTAACCAGTTAGTAGATATGGGTGATCTAGCGTTCAACTTGGTGGTGAACGCATGGAAACGGAGTACCTCAATTAATTTTTCAGAAATTTTAGCCTACTCCTACTATTATTTTTAAGGGGAATCCACGGGACGCATTTATCAAAAAAATGGGTGAGATACCATCGTAATTTGTCTTGTGCATTATTTCATAACCATGAAACTATAAATTATTACTAAACCATTAATTTATTTACTTTTATTATCATTTTGAGTTTGATATTATTTATAATAATAGTATAATCACTAATCACCTATTATATTAATTTGTACTTGTATTTTTTTTTTAAATTAATTATTTATAAATATTTTTGATGTGATTTAAATAGGGGTATTAGGGGATGTGGGGACAAAGCCCCAACGACTCAATAACATTTAGCAAGTGATGAGGATGCTTTTTTTCAAAAGTTTACAGAGTCCTCTTACTTTAATTTTTTCCAGTCGAGCACTAGGTTGTTCAGTATATGAGGGACGAGTGGATGACATTTCAAAACATACTATTGCCAAAATGCACAGAACAGTTATTCTTTGATTCTTATTGATAATATGGCAGGAAAATAGGAAATCGATTAGTGTTATCAGAATTTCATGAAATGTAAATATATATGTCAATCGATACTTAGGTAAGTGACTAGTTCATTCAAACATTCAATAAATAGATTTTAACCTAAACTAGAACTATTGATGATTGATTGTAAATACTAGTATTAACTAATAATAATAATAAAAGTAATAATTTACTTCCCATGTGAAGGGCCTTCAAGTCTCTCACCATCCTTTATCTTTGTATAGCTAATTATTTTACTTAACGTGCACCCTAACCAGATTGTAAATAACTTATTATAATGAACAATTAAAAAAAAAAAAAGTAATAATGATAGTGGTACAAGTATATATAGTCAAATAGTATTATTTTTTTAAAATTCTAAAACACACTATTATAATCATATTAAAACAAATGAAAAGATAAACCCTTAGGCAGAGAATTGTTTTCATAAAACATTATTTCCAATGACTTTTTTTTACTTAGTTTTAATATTTAGAATTCAGAATCATTTACCAAATTAAATTTTGAAGATGTTAACAGTGTAATTTGTATACCTATTGTGATGGAGTTCAATAAATTAAAAACTAATATTTAGTAATAAATTCATTATTTTTTTACAATTTATATTAGTAGAAAAATTATCAATTATATTTTCCCATCTATAGTTGATAATGCAACATACTGTGACATTTTGTATTTTGTGTTAATTAGAAGTAATTAGATTAACTTAATTAACATTTAACTAATTCATGTTATTAAATTGTTTGATAATCATTGTTTTATACAAGTATTTATGTATCATTGAAATGTTAAAATAATAATGAAATTTTGAAAAAAAAAAATAAAAATAAAAAAATAATTAACAAAATTTCAATATTATTTTAACATTTCAATGATACATAAATACTTGTATAAAACAATGATTATCAAACAATTTAATAACATGAATTAGTTAAATGTTAATTAAGTTAATCTAATTACTTTAATATGATTATAATAGTGTGTTTTAGAATTTTAAAAAAATAATACTATTTGACTATATATACTTGTACCACTATCATTATTACTTTTTTTTTTTTTAATTGTTCATTATAATAAGTTATTTACAATCTGGATAGGGTGCACGTTAAGTAAAATAATTAGCTATACAAAGATAAAGGATGGTGAGAGACTTGAAGGCCCTTCACATGGGAAGTAAATTATTACTTTTATTATTATTATTAGTTAATACTAGTATTTACAATCAATCATCAATAGTTCTAGTTTAGGTTAAAATCTATTTATTGAATGTTTGAATGAACTAGTCACTTACCTAAGTATCGATTGACATATATATTTACATTTCATGAAATTCTGATAACACTAATCGATTTCCTATTTTCCTGCCATATTATCAATAAGAATCAAAGAATAACTGTTCTGTGCATTTTGGCAATAGTATGTTTTGAAATGTCATCCACTCGTCCCTCATATACTGAACAACCTAGTGCTCGACTGGAAAAAATTAAAGTAAGAGGACTCTGTAAACTTTTGAAAAAAAGCATCCTCATCACTTGCTAAATGTTATTGAGTCGTTGGGGCTTTGTCCCCACATCCCCTAATACCCCTATTTAAATCACATCAAAAATATTTATAAATAATTAATTTAAAAAAAAAATACAAGTACAAATTAATATAATAGGTGATTAGTGATTATACTATTATTATAAATAATATCAAACTCAAAATGATAATAAAAGTAAATAAATTAATGGTTTAGTAATAATTTATAGTTTCATGGTTATGAAATAATGCACAAGACAAATTACGATGGTATCTCACCCATTTTTTTGATAAATGCGTCCCGTGGATTCCCCTTAAAAATAATAGTAGGAGTAGGCTAAAATTTCTGAAAAATTAATTGAGGTACTCCGTTTCCATGCGTTCACCACCAAGTTGAACGCTAGATCACCCATATCTACTAACTGGTTAGGTGACTTAATTTCTCATACCAAATAATGAATGAAAGGGCATTAATTTTCAGATGTAGATTCATACTCGATAGTCAAGAATACTAACATTTTTTACTAATGTGAGCATATTAACCAAAATAATGTCTAAAAATACTAAGTACATACCTAAATTTGTGTAGTTCCTAACTATCCACTTCTTATTTTATTTATAATTTAAATGGTTTCAAATTTTTTTTATGTTAACTGTCAACGATTTATATACAAAAATCTAGAATTGGTTTATAGGCTTTAAATAAAAAAAAAACCAATTAATACATTACTATTGCAGATTAATTTGAGATTTAATCAACTCTTGTTTCATTCAAGAACAACCAATTCTAAGAACATTAGTAAGGAAAAACGATTAAAAACTATTATAACCAATACCAGCCAGTATTATATTGGTTTAATTAATACACCCTTTAATGATATAAAACTCTCAATCTTTAACACTCACTCAAACCAAGCAGTACTTTTATTCAAAACATGAATAATTAAAACTATGAGATATGCTATGAAGTATTGAAGATTACAACTATACATTAACTAATCCTAACTACCTATGCTACAAATGAGCACCAATACAATATTAGATTATTATCTTAATATAAACTGTAACCCTTGCGGACCTGAAAAATTAATGAAAATTAAGTCGTTTACTAACCTTAAATTACCAAAAACTTCAATATTTGAAATTTGAAATAATTTGAATTTATTTACAACTGTAAAGACTAGTGGTAAAACGTCTGTAAAAATGAAAGCACACAAAAATGCAACACGTTATTTCTGACCGGAAACGTCAAAAACAGACGTTAAACATCCAGACTCCAGGAACGATAAACATTCAACACTTCAACACTGGACAGTGGACACACCAGTCACCAAACACACAGCTTACAGATAACGAAATTACGAAGATATTACGGAAAAAGGTTTCGATTATCTCAAATTCTTCGTAGAATCTATTATTATTATTTATATAATTATTTGATCTCTTATCAACGTCTAAAGATTACATTTCATAGCTATATATTATCAAGGTGGATTGATATTATCATCCAAATTCATCAAATCGCCTTGCATATATTTTATTTTGTATCATCTACTCTTGAGTGCCGTGATTCGTGCCTTACAAAAATACCTTAGAATCTTAGATTCATAGGCACCCATACGAGGCACCCCTAGATTATTTTAAGTTAAAAAATATATTGTTTAATTTTGTGTTACAAGGAGCGAGTTTGAATTGGTAATGCACTAATGGCAGGACATAGGTATATTTCCTGTTTATATATGTCAAGTATATTTAAATTGAA